CTGTGTCCCGTAGGGTCACTCTGAGTTGGAAACCAACTCCACAGTGGTGGGTTTGGTTTAAGGAAGAGGGAAGCTCCACAAGGCAGCAGGAAAAGAGGCAACAGGTTTGTTTTTTTTTGTTTGGCCCTTACCAGAGGTGGAATCATCTGTATAATTTTCTTCTCCCATTTTGTTTCTAACTTTTCACTTGCTTTGATTTCCTCACAAGTTATTTCCTCCTTGAGATCTTAAATCATGTGCAAAATTTCTGATGTCTGATACACTGGGGGATGTCTGCTGTCTTTTCAGCTCACCTATCCCTGCTTCTATTAATGTGTTCCATATTGATTCTTTTCTCATTACTGTTCATCTCTGACAAGGGTCAAATCTTCCTTGAAGGGTAGCATGAGAACACTCCCTCGCCATGTCTGATATTTCCTTTGTGGGGAAATATGCCCCCATATTTCTGACATTTCAAATTATGTAGCTCACAGCAAAGCCTCAAAGACACAGGGTCTGTTTGAATTTCACTTTCTTTTCCCTGTGTCACTTTGGAAGTCTACTTCACATGGGTGTTCCGGTGCCAGAAACCAAATGGCATGTCAATTTTCTCAACCTTTTTTTAAAATTTTTTATTATAACCCTTCTCCCCCCAACCAAGGAGCCTTTTTAGACATTTTTACTTAATTGCTCTGCCAATGCGATTTTTGATACCAGAGATACTGAATAACTGTATGTCTATCTGTGTTTTATACATAAAAAGAGTAAGATTTTTTTGCCCCTCCAAAAAGCAATTTCTGTTCCATTGAGGGCACTATCACCCCCGTTGAGAATGCATGCGCTAAAGGGAAATATTAACTTCTCCTTTGACCAGTCTGTGCCTCTAGATATAGTTGCTCTAATCAAGGGACTGTAGTGAGGCAAGTATCAGCACTTTTCAGCATCTTTCTGATTTCAGACCAGATTTCACAAATATTCGGCAGTATGCTTGATGTCTGGCTGTTTAATCAAATATAAATAGAGAGAAGACTGGATTTTATTAATAAGATTTGAAGGCTTGTGAAATAGAAATACCTCTATTGTTGTGGATTGAATTATGTCCCCAAAAAATGTGTTGTAAATCCTAACCTCTATGCCTGCGATTGGAGCCCTGGTGGCACAGTGGTTAAGAGCTTGGCTGCTAACCAAAAGGTCGGCAGTTCGAATCCACTAGCCGTTCTTATGGGGCAGTTCTACTCTGTCCTGTAGGGTCACTATGAGTCATAATCAACTCAATGGCTTGGTTTGGGTTTATGGCTGTGGTTATAATTCCATTTGGGAATGAGTTGTCTTTGTTATGTTAATGAGGCAGGATTTGTGTAGGGTGTATCTGGAGTCAATCTCTGAGATAAACAAGAGATTAAATGCAAGCAAACAAGCTGAGATGGGAGAAGAGAGATGTTAAACCACTTGAAGCTCTTCCAGGAGCAGAAGCTCAAAAAGACAAGGACCTTCCTCCAGAAAGAAAGCCTTCCTCTACAGCCAGTGCCCTGAATTCATACCTCTAGCCTCCTAAACTGTGAGATAATAAATTTGTTTGTTAAAGCCACCCACTTGTGGCATTTCTGTTATAGCAGCACTAGATATCTAAGATATCTATCATTGAGAATTTTATCATCTTTTTAAATTATGATTCTGATAGTGTCTTTGCCAGTCCTCCTTTATCTTAGCCATTTCCCTTTTTGTCCCAACCAGTCACATTTTTTTACTGTCCATCTCTCTGAATCTTATCATCTTATCGAAGAATCCAGAAGATTTCAGGAACCTGAGAAAACTATATACTCTCCAGACTTCTAGAAATTCTTTCTTTTTGTTCTTCAGTATTTCTGTATAATCTGTGTTAGAAAAGATAGTGGTGGTGGAGGGGGATGTAAAACCACACACGCCAACAGCAAAGCTCTGAATAGATTGTCCTCAGAATGAGTGAACTGGTGGAGAGCAGTGACCTGAGGGTATTTTGTTCCAGATCAGAACACACACAACCAAAATGCCCTCCAGTTGTATACTGAGGAAAAAAAATTTTAATTTCTGCCAGTATGTTATCCAATATATCTCCAATTTTTTAATAAGTTCTTCACACAAAAATAATTCTCAGTAAGCACTATACTTAGTGCTTATGTTGTTTTGATTAACATGTTTTAGGGAATTAAATTTCTTAAAATGTACTACTCTGCTATTCATTCAATGAGATTTTCATTCTCATCTAAAACATTAAAAACAAAACAACAACAAAAACCCTACAGGGCACATTTGCTGCTGCTTCCAGCCATGGAGGGATAAAAGGGGCTGAGTTACTCTCCTGATAGAAACTAAAAATCTGGACAAAATTGGAGACAGCAGATTTCAGACACTGGAAAATGAACAGCACCGCACAGTGATCCGTGAGAGAAAGGAAACAGGTGAGGCGAGACTTACTGATGAGCCAGCTTATGTATGAAGTTTCCAGGCCACAGCACAGGGAGCAGCAAGAACAGCCTGGTGGTCTCCCTGCGTTGAGGCAAAGTTGGACACTTGGGAGGCCACAGCAGCTAGAATCTACAAGACAGGGTACTGGAGAGTAAAGGGCTGCATAGAAAGAACTGCAGAGATCTGTGGAGGGTGCCCCTTGTCTTCACCCCACAGTGTACCTGTGAACAAACTGAGCTCATAATCTGTGCTCCCACCTGCCTTAGTGGAAAAACCTCAGAATACACTGGGCATTGGGCAAAGTACTTATAGGTATTGCCTCTGCAGTGAGGCAAATTAGCCCACATGGATGCTCTGGTCTCACCTAAGAAAGCTTAAAGACACTGCAGGGAACACTGAAGCAAGTCCTTCAGGTTGAAAGAAGATGGTACTAGGTGGAAAGTCAGTTCTCTGTTGTTAGCCGACGTTGAGTCAGCCCCCAAATCATGGCACCCCCACGCACAATGGAACAAAATGAAATGCTGCCTGGTTCAGCACCATCCTTATGATTGGTTGTGGATCAGACTGTTGAAATCCATAAGGTTTTGATGGGGAAGGAAGAGTGTCTTCAATAAATGGTGTTGGAAAATCTGTATTTCCATATGCAGAAAAATCAAACAGGATCCATGCCTCACACCATACATAAAAACAAATATAAAATGGATTAAGGACCTAAACGTGCAAACTAAAACCATAAAATTCTTAGAAGAAAATGCAGGGGCAAAACTGTCTGGTCTAGCTTTTAACAGTGCATTATCTAATATAACAAAAGCACAGACAGCAAAAGACAAAATAAATCAATGGGACTTCATAAAAATTAAAAATTTTTATTAATCAAAAGACTTTACCAAAAAAGTGGATAAGCTACCGATTGGGAGAACATCTTCGGACACCACATCCAGTAAGAATCTAATAGCCAAAATAGATATAAAACTTTGACACCTTAATAACAAAAAGACAAATAACCCAATCATAAAATGGGCAAAGAACTTGAATAGGCATTTCACCAAAGAGGTCATTCAAATGGCCACCAAATGCAAAAAAGATACCCAACATGATTAGTCATCAGAGAGATGCAAATCAAAACTATGAGATACCATTTCACTCCCACTAGGATGGCTAAGATAAAAACAAACGAACAAACAAAACAGAAAATAACAAATGTTGTTGATGATGGGGGGGAAATTGGAGCCCTTATCCCTTGCTGATGGGAATGCAAAATGGTACAGCTGTTCTGGAAAGCAGTGTGGCAGTTCCTCAAAAAACTAAAACTACCGTTATGACCCAGCGATTCCACTCCTAGGTATATACCCAAAAGACTTCAAATTAGAGCCTTGAACAGAGACTTGTACACCAGTGTTCATTGCAGCACTATTCACAATAGCCAAAAGGTGGAAACAACCTAAATGCTCATCGGCAGATGAATGGATGAACAAAACGTGGCACAAACATAAAATGGAATACTACTTAGCCAGTAGGAGAAATGAAGTCTTGATACATGCTCAGCATGGATGGAGCTTGAAGACATTATGCTGAATGAAATAAGTCAATCACAAAAGGACAAATATCGTATGACTTCTTCACTTACATAAAAGGACAAGAAAAGGTAACATAGAGACCAAAGTTTATTAGTGGTTACCAGGGGTGGAAGGGAGGGAGAAAGGGGGGTTAATGGTGATGGAAAAATCGCATTAAGGGTAGGGTTGCATGGCCAATTTAAGTGCCGTCAATAAGTTGTGCACCTGTAAAAAGTTATATTGGCAAAAGTTGTGTGGTAGATATATTTACAACAACAAAAAAGCAGCTGCTGAGGCTGCTTATGTATAACCTAAAACCTCACGGGATCTGGTTCCTTGGTTTGGCAGTTTAGAGTCATGGTTTCACGGAACATCCCTATCTCTTAGTTTGTTGCGTAGTGTCTGGGGGTCTTAAAAGCTTGCAAGTGGCCATCCAAGGCTTGACAATTGGTCTCTATTTGCCTAGAGCAACAGAGGAAGAATAGCCAGGAATAGGAGCTGAGTGCCTCCATGAACTGTCACTTTTACTTTGAGACCAGAAGAACTGGATGGTGCCCAGCTACCATTACTGAACATTTTGATCAAAGAGACCTAGAAGGATCCTGAGAAAGAGGGGGAAAATGCAGAACAGAATTTCAAAATCTCATGGACTCCAGGCTCTGGAGCCATGGAGGCTGGATGAATCCCTGCAACTATTGCCCTGAGATAATCTTTAATCCTTACACCAAAAACATCCCGAATTCTTAAAACCAAACAACAGTTTAACTAGCAAAAAATGTCTGCCCTCAGCATTATGCTCTTTTAAGAGCTATAATATATAGGATCAAAGTGACAACAGCAACTTGAAAGATTAGATGGGAACCTCGGGGGCAGTGAGTTTATGCTAATGGGAGAGGAACAACTCAGAAAAGGATATACAGATAGCAAATAAGCGCATGAAAAGATGTTCATCACTGGCCATTAAGAGGAAATGCAAATGAAAACTACCCGAGATATCACTACACATCTATCTGAATGGCTAAAATAAAAATACAATAGCAAATGCTGGTGAGGGTGTGGTGGAGAAACTGGATCACTGTACACCATGGTGAGAATGTAAAATTGTACAGCCACTGTAGACAATAGTTTGGCAGTTTCTTGTAAAATGAAACACGCAACTACCAATCACCCAGCAGTTGCCCTCATGGGCATTTATCCCAGAGAAATGAAAACTTAGATGTTCACACAAAGGCCTGTATACAGGTATTCATAGCAGCTTTATTGGGAACCACCACAAACTGGAAACCACCAAAACGTCCTTCAATGGGTGGTTAGATAAACTGTAATATGTTTATACTGTGAAATACTATGTAGCAATAAAAAGGAACAAACTATTGATACACACAAGAACATGGATGGATCTCAAGAGAATTATGTTGAGGTAAAAAGGCCAACCTCAAAAGGTCCCATATTATGATTCCATTTATATAATATTCTTAAAATATCAAACTTAAGAGATAGTAAACAAATTAGAAATTGTAGGGGTTATACGGGGAATAGGAGTGGCAGTGGCTATAAAGGGATAGCCCTACAGAGCCCTGTGGTGATGGAACAGTTCTGTACCTTGATTATGTTGGTGGTTACATTGCTCTGTATGTGATAAAAACGAATAGTACACACATGTATGTAAAACTGATGAAAAATAAGCTATGTGGATTGTCCCAATGTCAGTTTCCTAGCTATGAACTTGCAGTTCAAAATAAAATGTGCAAAAAAAAAAAAAAAAACAACCCAATATACCACCAGCCACTTTTAACACTGCTGAAAAAGAAATGGAGCTGAGACATAACAATAAACCTCAGCTATGGGACTGTGAGGTGGACAGAGAACAGAATAGGGTGAGAGAGTCTACAGTTGGGGTTCTACTGATGGTAGGAGAAAGTATCATCCAATAGATCAAAAAGTATTTTTTCAACCTATTTCATGAAGCAAAGCCAGCATATATCTTGAATAGATAGATATTTCCCAGTCTAGCTTTTTATAATCAGTGACAGATTACCTAAACCGGACTCAAGGATTATCTTAGGGAAATGTTTAACATCAAAAACCATCTTGTTCTTGTACATGTGTACACAAAGTTATACAACAGTGTACGTAACAGTGTTAACACTGCTTATAATAGTTTAATAAAAAGGCATAACCCAAATATCCATCAACAGGGTACTGGCGTATGTATCACAGTACATCCATACAATAAAATACTGTACACGCACATATATTAGAAAAGCAATTAAACAGAAGCACTCTACAAACTGATATGAAAGCAGCTCAATACAAATTATGCAGGAAAAAGCCAAGTGTAGAACAGACTATAAAATAGCCTGGATATGAAAAAAAAGAAAAAATATCTTCATAAATTTTTAATATTCATTACATGTTGAAATGACATTATATTAAAATTATTTTCCCATTTTTACTCTAATGTGACTACAAGAAAATAAGAAATCGCACATATAGCTTGCATTATACTTCTACTTGACCACTCTGCTCTAGATGGGCAAATAAACATTTGATAGTCATGAACTGTTGAAGCAGGGTCTAGGGAACCAGAGGATAGGACTGGTTGGAAAGGAGACTTTTCCCTGTATATTCTTCTATATATCAATACATCGTTTTAAAAGAAGATAATTGTGGCGTTCTTTAAACAAATACATTAATTTTTTAAAAATAATAACAAAGGTTCATTTCTCCCCCCTCCCCCCACATACAGTTTAGTGACATCGATTACATTCTTTGAGTTGTACAATTATTCATTTGATTTTGAATTCCCAGGCATCAGCATTGTTGTTAGTTGTCGTCGAGTCAGTTCCAACTCATGGCGAACCCACTGTGCAGAGCAGAACTGCTCCATAGGGTTTTCAAGGTTGTGCACTTTTGGAAGCAGATCTCCAGGCCTATCTTCCGAGGTGACTCTGTGTAGGTTTGAACTGCCAGCCTTTCAGCTAGTAGTTTAACTGTTTGTGCCACTCAGGAATTCCTTTGAACAAATATATTGAAAACGAGCTTTAGTAGTTACACCAGAGAGACTAGAAGCTGCCAGGTCGGCTGAACTGTCAGTTGCCAGGTCTTGATTGAGAGTTTTAACATCCCTGAAGAAACTCAAAGAGTAACCTAAATTCTGGTATCTTCACAAAATTAAACTTACATTTTATTTTAATCTGATACATCTCCTAAACCAAAAGGCCAACATCAAGTTAAACAACATCCAGTTTCACTCTGATGTTCATTGCTGCCAGTTCTGCTACAAAATACCGAAAAACGTAAGGCACAGAAACAGTGTCGATAGTGTCACTGCGATTACAAAGTACACAGTTGTACTTTCTGTTGCGCATGGCAGACCAGGAAGGGGGTGGCTTCTCCAGCAGTGGCGAGAGTAAACTACCACACTTGACGCACACGTGCGCTACTGAACGGTCAGAGCAGTTGAAGAGGCGGTCATGAAGGAGAAAAGATGTACCGTGGGCTAAAAGAGCATCTCGCTCCATCTCCCCAAAACGGATTCCACCCTGGAGGTTTCTTCCCCCAATAGGCTGGTTAGTGACTTTGTCTCTGGCTCCTGTGGTTCTAACTTGAAACTTGTCGGAGACCATGTGGCGTAGGCGTTGATAATAAACCACACCTATGAAAATGTCTGCTTTCAGTTCTAGCCCACTGATGCCACTATATAATCTCTCGGTGCCATAGAAGTTGTAGCCAGCAGCCTTTAACATCTCACCAAAGTATTCTAAGGCAGAGTTCTCCTCTGAAAAGATGAAGGGTGTGGCATCATGGCAGAGACCGTGCAAAGCTGCAGACTTCCCTGCCATACTCTCAATTAACATGCCAATGGTCATGCGGGATGGAAAACCATGAGGATTGAACAGAATGTCTGGGACCATCCCACTCTCAGTAAAAGGCATGTCCTCAACTGGCCACAACCTGCTCAAAATGCCCTTTTGCCCATGTCGACTGGCGAATTTATCTCCAATAGTTGGATTTCGAGGGACTCTCATGGTGATGCAGACACACTTGAATTTTCCACTTCCAGTGTCATTACTACATACTTTGATGTTATCTACAACACAATTTTCTTTACTCCTAGGAAAAAATAAATCGTATAAAAAGTCAAACCATTTGTTTAAACTTACAGAGATACTTAAGTTTTGCTGAAAGAATATTAGAAGCACAGGCATCTGAAAAACTATTATGAAGATATATTATTGAAACCAATTTCATTGTAAAATAAAGTAAAATAGAAATTTATTTTTAATACCAGACATAATGAACTCAACATTTTAGCTAGGAAGTATTCCTAACATGGATGAGAAAGATGGCCAAGTCTGAACAATCTATTTAAAATAAATCACAGATAACGCTCCTAAATTTTAACAGACAACAAGAGAAGTTCGAAAAACAAAGGCAGTACAATAGATACAACTTACTTGCCTCATTTACACAATGCTAATTCAGTTATGACTGATAGTAACCAAGCTACTCGTTTTTCCTCCAAACATTCTCCTGTTAAAAGATAACTTTCATTGACCTCCAGCAACTCCTTGAGAAAAAACCTTATAAAAATAGCACACATATCCACACTCACCTATAGTAGACCAGAAAGCTTTCCCCAGTATTGAGGTTTAGGTAGCTGTAATACGGGTCTCCATACTGCAGTTGTGCTCCAATAAATGGCAATCCATCATCATCTAATTTCTGCAAAATTCGTGGATCACCAGGTTTGACTCCAAACACCAGACTATCATCTCCTTGTTTAATTTTTTCAGAAAGATCTATGAACTCAGACTTGTATACACTTCCATGGGCAAAGCCTCGTTCCCAAGAGGCCTTATTCACAATCTGTAAAGTCAAAGAATCATCAATTTAAGAGACTGCAGCCAAATGGAGGGTTTTTAAAATAAAGCTGGGTAGGATGGTAATAAAACTTATTTTAGAGTAACTGGCATTCAGTTTTAAAACTATCCCCACATTTCCCAAATCACCTATACTATTAAAACCCAAACACATATAAATAGCTTAAAACCTAATCGTGCGTAAATATAAAAGGTAGGTATGTCCAAGGCAGCTTTATATTCATTCAAAATTTACTTATACTATACACTCAAACATGCAGGGTATCTGAAAACCAAAACCTGTTGCCATCAAGTCTATTCCGACTCATAGTGACCATTATAAGACAGAGCAGAACTGCCCCATAGGGTTTCCAAGAAGCAGCTGGTGGATTTGAACTGCCAACATTTTGGTTAGCAGCCATAGTTCGCCATAGCTCTTAACTGCTGTGCCACCAGGGCTCCTGCAAGGTATCAGCATATTTAAATATTTAGTAAATATCCCGTAATGCTTGCCCACTTTCAACCAAGACCAGGAACTAACCATTTAACACTCGTGCCAAATACCAGGCACTCGAGGACAAAGAAATACTCCTCCAGTGACCTTACAGCATACAAAAAACTTAAAAAGAATGGAGCCACATCTCCTGGTAAAACTTACCATGGCATCTTCCATATCATAGCCAGTGTATGAAATAACAGCAACGATGGCATTTGTCCCAACTGGATAGTTATCCATGTCATAGTAATCATACATGTACGGTCTCACTAAAGGACTCTGTGGAGTCTGAAGACGATACAGTTTATTATCTGATCGGTCTTGATAAGTAAGAAGCGGAAAGCCCATAGTTTGCTTACCTACAGAAACAACAACAAAAAAAAAAACACCATCATATTTTCCAGGGGGTTTCCTTGGTTTTAAAGGTGATATATAACACTGGAAACAACTAATATTCATCAACAAAGAAATCAACTAACGAATCACGGTGGTTATGAGTCCTACAGAATACTACATAGCCGTGAAAATGAAGTCCACCTACATGCATCAGTATGATCGGACTATGAAAACAATGTTGAGTGGGGAATAAGTGCAGTATAATAATAATAATAATAATAATAATATAATAATAATATAATACCATTGATGTTATGAGACCATAGATGTGATGTATATAACACATCCCAAACAATTCTAAACCTGGTTTATGGACATAATGTAATAAAAGCATAAAAAGTAGACGTAAAGGACACACACGAACTTCAAGATATCATCACTAGGGAGAGAGAAGAGGTGAATAAAGCACCAGGGCTTTGAACTGGTTTGAAACAGTTCAGTCATGGCGGACAGAAATAAGGGCAGCATACACACTGCGTAGCAACCAAATCTCTTGTGAGTCGGATTTTGACCCAAGTAGGAAAATAGGCAGCAGTATCCCACTTAAAGATGGTGGCCAACTGCACACCTCTGAATGTGTGTCGGTCTCCACAGTCCTGCCAATAATCCAGTCTCCCACATCAGTAAACTTTCAGAAGCCTGATGTAGGGGACCACTGCCTGTTTCCTACTTGGGTCAAAATCTGAATGTGGTTGCTAAGCAACATGTACGCTGCCCTTGTTTCCATCGGCCATGAGTGAACTCTTTTGAACTGGCTCAAAGCCCTGCAAAGGACATTGTTACATGACAACTAAATACAATGTGTGATCTTGGACTGGGTGCTGCACAGAAAAAAATCTGCCATAAACCACATTTTTGGGACAACTGGTAAAAGAATAATGACTATAAAATATTATAGTGTCAATGTTACAATTCTGATTTTGATAACTGGTAATGTAAGTGAACACCGTTGTTCTTAAAAACTATACACTGAAGTATTTGGGAGTAAAGAGGCATCATGTCAGCAACTTACCTTCAAATGGAAAAACAGTGCAAACGGGGCAAAATGTTAACAATCAGTTAAACTAAATTTCAAGGGTTTATGCGGGTTTGCATAATTCTTGCAACTTTTCGGTAAGTTTGGAATTATTTCAAAATAAAAAGTTACAAGTGCTTTTCTTCTCTATGTGTGATTGCCCCCACTCCCTACTCTGACTTACCCATCTGGCACTGGTACATGTTCCGGGGACTCTGGTTGTGATCAGAGAAAGGGATGAAGTTGGCGATCACACTCAACAGGCTGTGAGGGAAGAGCTCCTGGTGTGTGGTAACTCCAGCAAAAACCTCATCCTCAAAGATAGCAATGTTCATGAATATCTGGAAAAGATAAAAAGATGAAGTTTAAGACACAAAATAACTGTGACTACTAACATATGAACTCTTTACTATTTCTCAAGGTTTAGTATTCAAAGACTTGAAAGAAAACCTTCCCCACCAGCATGATGAACACTGAAGAGGTCCACAGGGAAGCTTCTAGTCAGAAATATCACTTGCCCTACATATTTCATTTTCAGTCTACCTTGGTCCAATTGTGAAGGGGAATAGGAAGAAGTAGCAGGAAGCCCACAGTTTTGCAGCTTCAAGGATGTAGGCAAAGACCACAAGTAAGTTTAATGGAATGTGTCAATCTCACCACCTGAGGCAGAGCTGGGGGCAAAGGATCTTTGGGAGTTGGGCCAGATAGGAAATGAGGTAATGTGACCACTAACCCTCTCTCAGGTTCAATGAGGTAAAACAGGTGAACTGCTTAGGGCTGGTCACTAAGGTAGAAAGTAAGTTTTGACTTTCTTTCAAAATGCCTAATTATTCTCATAACAATGATAACAATACTTTTTAAAAAGCAATAGTTGTTAAGTCTCTGAAAGCTGATACTCTCTCAACATAGTATACATCCACCCATCACACATGCTCCATGTACCTGTTCCATCGTTCCAATTAGTTCTTCTCTGCCTAATTCCAAGTTCTGAACAGGCCGTACCAGTCTACAAGGAGTGGTAAAAAGAAATAGTCCTGGGTAAAGACTGGGTTTTCCTGTCATGGGTATAAGGACCACCTCCATCCAGGGAGGAATTCTTTTTTCTCTCAGCACCTGTTTTTCAACAAAAAGAATGATCAAAAAGGAGTAAGTGATTTGTTTCACATTCTTCCCCAGAGATGAGGATAAGTAAAATGGGGAAGGAGGTCAAATATAAAAACAATTTCTTAAGAAATGAAATTAATCATGCAAGGAAAAAACTTAGTGCTCAAAAACCATTACCGGGGCAGGGGAAATACATGATGAGTTGGGAACCACAAAGTAAGAAAGTGGGCAAAAAATAAAAGCACTGGGACATGTCCAAAGGACACAGGAAGCAACTCCAAAGAGCTCCCACTGGCCAAAGCTGAGACAATTGGAGCAAAGTACAAAATAAGCTCACAGGCAGTGTTTCGTTCTGTTGTACATAGGGTTGCTATGAGTCGGAACTGACTTGGCAGCACCTAACAACAACATTACAACTCAACAATTAAAAGACACCCCTAATTAAAAAGGGGGAAAGATCTAATAGACATTTCTCCAAAGAAGATATGCCGATGGCCAATAAGCAAATGAAAAGATGTTCAACATTATTAGTCATTAGGGAAATGCAAACCAAAACCACAATGAGATACTTCACATTTGAAATGTCCAGAATAGGCAAATCCATAGAGAAAGCAAGTAGATTAGTGATTTCCAGGGGTTGGGTTAAGGGGAAGTGGGGAGTTACTGCTAATGGTTATGAGGTTTCTTTTTCGGATGATGAAAATGTTCTAGAAATAAATAGTGATGATGGTTGTACAAGTTTGAGAATATGCTAAAAACTGCTGAACTGTACCCTTTAAAAAAGAATGAGGAAGATCTTTACAAACTGATATGGAGTGATTTCTAGGATATATTATTAAGTGAGAAAAGAAAAGCACTAAATGATATACTATCTTTTATGTAAGAAAGAAGGGAAAGTAGACTATACCTTTATATGATTATTTTTGGGGAAACATAAGAAACTTAGATTGGTTATATATAGGGGTGAGTGGCAATGGGGTAAAAGGTGTGATGGGTGGGCAAGGGTAGAAGAGGCAGAGCGGGGATCACTGAGTATACTTTTTTGAACCATGTTAATGCTTCACAAACTCAAAATAATAATAAAATCAATAAAGACGAGGGAGAAAAAACTTAAAATGGAATTCAAATTGAAATAAACAAGCCTGACTGTATTAAAATGAATAACATAACCACACTGAAGCAGGAAAAATTTTTAACTTGAGTATAAAGTATAAAAGACAAAATTTATAAACAAATATTAAACTGTAGCTAGAAGTTTATTTTTCATATTGGTATGGATTATCAATTCTGACATACCTCTGTGTTTTGTAAGATTGAGTACATGAGCAAATTATGGGAGCCGCAATTCTCACTGCTGGAGAAAGGAATTACAGATATGGAAAGGGAAAAGACTAAACTAACTCTGGTGTTGGATTGGTGGTATCAATATGAACTCATGATTTTAAATATACATACGTGTATATACACGTGAATCTGCTGAAAGGCACAGAAGCAAAGATATATTGACAGCAATGTCCTATCACCCAGATCCCAGTTTCTAAGTGGCACACTCCACAATAAAAGGAATCAAGGCCATTCCTTTGGAGAAATGGATGATTTCAGGGCTAAGGTCAGTAAGGTACAAGATGAGTCTGGAACATCTTATTGTGCCAGAAGGCAAGAAGTGCTAAAAGAATGATGGGACATATTTAAAAAGAAAAAAAAAAAAAAAAAATAGCCCAGAGGGGTTTCCACTGGCCAAATCTAATAAAATTTGAGTATCAAAATAAATGGCTGTAACAGAATACTTATGAAATAAAACAAGCATCTAAGTAAGTGAGCTAATAAATAAACGAAGGAAAAAAGAAAACTCTGTATTATAGAACAGCAATTAATAAACGTAGAACAAATACAGGAGCTAGAAAATAACCATCTAGGGACAGAACCAAGATGGCACCACAATGTCCCCCTGCACTGAACACCCCCCAAAACCCTAGCAAAACAGAAGCAGATAACAATCTGGGAACCCTGAATATGAAAAAAGAAAGTCTAAGAACTGAAGCAAACACTGACTGGAAGGATTAAGGAAAGCAGCAAAAAAGAAGTTAACACAGAATGGAGGGGCTCAGCCAGCTGTCACAGCCTGCCGTGGCTAAAGGCCAGCAGCAAGCTTGGGTGAAGAAAACAGCAAGGCAGCTTCAAACTTTCCCAAAAGGGACAGGGAACCTCTATAGACATACATGGAAAAAAGCAGAGAAGGGGGTGCCAGATCCAGAACTAGAGATACTCGGGAGCGGTGGCCCTTCACCTCAGGGACAGACACAGCAAAACTGAGTGAATATCTTGCCTGCTGTTCCTTCTTCCCTCCCCTACCCAGAAGGAGGTGGAGGTAGAACAACTGTGTGAATGTCTGCCCACTGCCCACCCTCTACCACCCACACCTCCCCATACCAACCAGCGAGAGGTGATGAGCACACCCCCACACTGGCTGCTCCACCTGCACAGACAGCACCATTCCCCACTCCTTGAGCCACTGAACCAAAGACAGATGGAGGCCAAAGCCCAACCAGCCCACCCTCAGCTGCCCTGCAGGATCAGAAACAGACCAGAGCTCCCACACCTACCTGCTGCTCCACTAGCCCAGAGACAGGGAAGACTCCAGCACGACCAGTCCAGTGGCCAGAGCACCACTCCAGCCATGCCTGCCAGTAATCACCAAAACAAAACAAAAAACAGGACCCAGCAAACAATTATACGAATAAAAAACAAATTCAATACTCCTTAATGTGCTGGAAACAACAGACAATAGCAAACCACCTAAAGAAGCAGGGTCAGATGGCCTCAGCCAGTGACCATGATAAAGAACCAAAAATCCTCCCTGAGAAAAGAAAGGTAATGGAGCTTCCTAATAAGGAATTCAAAAGGCTTATGTATAGGGTCCTCAAAGGAATCAAGGAAAACATAGGCAAAACTATGGCGAACACAAACAAAACACAAGAAAAGAACTCAGGAAAACAATACAAGGACAAAATAAGTATACAATTGGAAACAATACAGAAGCAGCAACTAGGAATCCAGAAGCTTAACAATAAAATTGCAGAAATTGACAATTCAATGAGAAGTCACAGGAGTAGAAATGAAACAATGGAATACAGGATCAGCAGAATAGAAGACCAATCCTTTGACACTAATCTGTTCTAGGAACAATAAATAAAAAAACAATTAAGAAAAATGAAGAAAGCCTAAGAGTTATGTGGGACACCATCAAGAGGAATAACTTACGTGTCATCAGAATCCTTAGACAGGGAGGAGTCAAGAAAAAGTACAGAGATAATTTGTTCAAGATATGCTGACAGAAAATTTCCCCAATATCATGAAAGATGAAAAGATAACCATACAAGAAGCACAACGAATCTCATACAGGATAGAGCCCAACAGAAGAACACCAAGACATATCATAATCAAAGTTTCTAAAACCAAAGACAAAGAAACAATCCTGAAAGCACCTTGGGAAAAACGAAAGATCACCTACAAAGGGAGCGTTGGTAAGACTAAGTTCTGATTACTCAGCAGAAACCATGAGGCAAGAAGGCAATGGAATAATATATATAAAACCTTGAAAGAGAAACTGCCAACCAAGAATTATATATCCAACAAAACTGTCCCTCAAATATGATGGTGAAATTAGGACATTTCCAGATAAACAGAAATTAAAGGAATCTGTAAAAACCAGACCAGCTTTACAAGAAATATTACAGGGAGTTCTTTGGACAGAAAACAACACACCAGACAACAACCTTAAGATTAAAACACATGACAACATCAGACAGACAGCAACCCAGATAAAGAACTCTCAAAAATAAAATAAACCTCAAGGACAGAAAACAGGAACCAGAGACATTACTCTTTTACTGATGACCACTTCAAAATATAAAGGAGGAATAAAGGGCATAGCTTCCATATGGAGAGGAAGTCAAGGCGATACCAAGAAATAAATTACTGCTTTAAACTTAGGAAGATAAAGGTAAACATCGGGGTAATAACAAAGAAAGTCAACAAACCTACTCATCAAAATATGAAAAAAAAAATCAAAGGTTCAGTAGACACAAAACTAAAAATGACAAAGGAAACAAAAAGACAAGCCACAATTTAATTAAAAAAAAATAAAACAGCATGGAAAATTAAACAGAAAAAAGAAACTGTCAACACCACACACACACACACACACACACACACACACAGCATAACACAATGACAGCAATAAACTCTTACCTATGGATAATCACACTGAATGTTTAAGTGGCCTAAATGCATCAGTAAAGAGATGGAGAGTGGCAGAATGTATTAAAAAACATATGACCCACCAATATGCTGTCTGCAAGAGACATGCTTTAGACACAAAGATAGAAATAAAGCTTAAAGGATGGAAAAACATATATTAAGCAGACAATAATAAAAAAACAGCAGGGATGGCAATATTAATCTCTGATAAAATACATTTTAAGGCAAAATCCACTATAAAAGACAAGGAAGGACATTATATAATGATTAAAGGGTCAATCCACCAAGGACACAACCAAAGTAGGTATATATGCATCCAATGACAGAGCTCCAAAATACATAAAACAAACTCTAACAGCATTAAGAAGAGAAATAAACACTTCCACAATACTAGGAGGCTTTAACATACCACTCGGTGAGGGCAGAACAACTAGAAAGAAATTCAACAAAGACACAGAAGATCTAAATACCACAATCAACCAGCTTGACTCCTAGACATATCTAGGGTACACTGCCCAATAGTGACAAAGTACATATTCTTCTCCAAGGCTCATGGATCTTTCTCCAGAACAGACCACATTTTAGGCCACAAAGCAAGCCTCAACAAATGAAAAAACACTGAAATAATACAAAGCATCTTCTCTGATCACAATGCTATATAAAAGTAGAATAACAAGAAGAGCAAGGAAAAAATCTAATAAATGGAAACTAAATACCACTCTGCTTAAAAACTACTCGGTAATAGAAAA